TTTTTTCTCATTTTTTAAAACTTGAATTTTGTAAAAAAAAAAACAATGCAAAAATTATCCTTTTAATTATTTTATGTTTTCTTTTTATTATCATTTTTCTTGTATCAAACAATAATTTTACAAAGAAAAAAAATATATGGATATACATGGACATATTTTGTATATAATTATATATATAATATACAATTATATACAAATGTGGAACTTTTTTTCCCGGGTAATAATTATTATATTTTAGTATAATAATTACTATAGTCGAGACATTAGTCGACTATAAGTTCCATCCTTCCAGTCTAACTTCAAAATGTTTAAACTCGGTCTACATAAGTCGAAATTAACATTCAACGTATTTACAAACGCGTATCGCGAGTCAATCATCAGAAGCAGTACAAGTACTTAGGTACTGTAACTATAGATACAAGTGGAATATTATAAAAGAAAACTCAAATAAAAGTCGAAACATTTACGTTTTTATATTTATCTAATAATATATTTTTAAACACACTTTCATCTGGTGTCGGCTTTATTCCTAGTTATTGAAGTCTACAGAATGCTATTACACGTGTCTTATGACAAAAATTTCAAACCTAATGATTAACTGCAAAATAAAGAGATCCGACAACTTTTTTATCTTGCAGCCAATCAATAAATTTGAAATGCTTTGTCATATATGACAAATGTAATATCAGCCTATACACACACAACTCAACTATACAAATATTATAAATTGTTTTCTTAAATATATACACGCGTATTCAAACACGTATAATTTTTAGTTGTGCTTATATTAAAATTATAATATCAAGATCAAGAAATGTTTATTTATTCTCCTATGTCTTTTTTATGTTGAAAAATTGTAACATCAACAAATACATATTATAATAAGAAAGAAAGTAAAATAAACATTAAGTGACACGTCAAAACAAATTTTATTGTAATTACAATTATATTACTTGTAATTATTCCAAATAATTATTTTAATTTCTTTTAATCAAAATGTGTGATGTATGTATAAAAACTTTGCGATAGTACAGAAAAACTTTATTATATAATATTATTAATGTTATAAAATATCATTAATATTGAATAAAAATAAAATTAATATTAATTATTTAAATTTAACTTTACAAGCAGTTTTCATTTTTATTTACTTTTTTTAATCTAACTTTATTAAAAATTCTCTATTTATGCTTGTTTTAAACGTACACATAATGTTTGAAGCGAGCAAGAATATATTTAATTTATTATTATTACATAATTTCGACTTTAAAATATGTTAAATATAATTAAATGCAATTATACATTATTCTGCAATTTGATGTGAAACAGTTTTCAAAAATCTAGAAAAATTTTTATCAGGTTCCAAATTCAGAAGCTGACAGGTTCGATTCCATAAATCTTCTGCAATTTGATTATTTTGCGCTTGGCTCTGTGGAGTCGCAACGCCGCATTCTCTTCATAAAAACACAAATAAAAATATTATTAAAAAATTCTCTTGTAAAATATCTTGTAAAATAAAGAGAAAGAATATTATATAATATTAGAATATTCTCTTTCTATATAGTTACAAATGATACATGTACAAATATATTATAAATGTAGGTAAAAGACTTTAAAAAATGTTGCTTACGAAGAAATAAATAATATTGTGCAAAATTTATAATAAGTGACAATATAATAAATGTGAAGCAACACACGTTTATCTTTTCGATTAAAATCACATTATATAAAACATTAATTATTCCGGAAAATTGAAATTACTTTTTCGCACATTATATTTCGCAAAAATAATTTTGTATATTCTTTTTCCTTACCTGTAATAAAGACCAGTCTCGTTAGCTGCCTGTTCGGCTACTGAACAATATATAGTCGTTTGTGCACCTTGCTCAGGATTTTTTAAGATTGGTCGCAGAATTGATTGAAAAATAGTGCTTGCACCTGGAAATACTGTTGTACTAAAATGTCGACCTAACTCGGTCGTTATAACACCGGGGTGCAAAGCATATACGTTTATTCCGTAAATGTGTGCCTCTGGAAAATATACACATATTTTAATTTATAAATTGTTTTTGCAGTAATAACACTAAAATATAAAACAATATAAAAAGTCTCAATATCTTTATCTATTTCAATAAATTGTTTTATAAATAATTTGATTTGCACATTTTTAACAGTAGATTAATTTAAATAAATTCGGAGTTCATTTTTCTTTGGTAAAATATCGATAAAGAAAAGTCATCTATTGTAATCTTTAACTTTACATCTATAATAGTTTTAAAAATCTATAATAAAATAAACTTTATCTAAAATTGGCTGGAAAATAATTTTATAATTCATTTAATTTCTTAAATTTTCAAATTTGTAAGAAACATTTCGCTTCCATCTTTTGTAACTAAGAAATGTCGGTATGTGACATTCTTGTTAAAAAAATAATTTTCAAACCAGAAAAATCTGAACAAAAATAATTGTAAAAAATAACGTCCAAAAACCGAAACACTGTATAAATTAATATCTAACAATAAGCTATTAGCTAAAACTAATAGAAAACTTACTATTCATTTTTATAATTGTTAATGTGTTATTTTAGCGCTAATCTTCAAACATACATGTAATATTCAGATCTTCATTATAATATTTATATCTTCAAATAATTATTTTCACATACCTTTTAATCGACGAGCGAGTTCTTTGGTAAACAATATGTTTGCTAGTTTACTTTGTGCGTATGCTCTAAAGGGAGTATATGTCTTCTCCAAATTTAGATCTTCATGTATAGCGCCAACTGTATTACAATAATACCCATCACTATTAGTATGTAATTGTTTCTTTCTATTGTTATACATCATGGAGAAAAAAATTTGCTGATGTAGAAGATGTTTAGCTGTTATGGCAAATTTCGTTAGTTATCGATATCAAACAATTAGTTAAAAAGACTAATTTTATTTATTGTGATAACTTTAAATTTGTAAATTATTTTGATACAGTAATAAATTAAATTTTTTTCTATCTTTTTCTTATTTTTCAATTTTTTTATTCTCATGTCAATGATAGTTTTGTCATGATAACAAAATACATTTACTAACAATAAGATATATTATTTGCCTTAACAGCAAATTTACATAAATGAATCTACTTATTATTAGTAAAATTTTTCTATTTTCCCAGCAAAACTTTCCAGATCTTACTACAATATTAAATTAACTTATATCAATGCAAAATTTGTCTCTTATTGCAGCAATAATGATTTTGTTGAAAGCTAAATTATTTTTCTCCCGTGATAACATTAAGTTAATATACGTCAAATAAACATATACTATTAGCAATTCACACGTATTAATGTGCATTATTAAATTTTAATTTAGCTTGTAACGTTACTAGGTTTACGCACACATGTGAAGACATGATGAAACATTCAGTATTCTACAGCCGGAACCGGAGGATTGTATTTTTGGTAGCAACAAAAGCGTCAAGAGAAAATGACCGATATGATTCGTTTGCAGCTGCAAATCGAATCCATCCTCAGTCTTTTCTTGCGGGCACATCATCACGCCAGCGTTGTTTATTAGTATGTGAATGGCCGATTCTTTTTTCAATAGATTTTTGGCACATTTTTTTATGCTTTTCAGGCTGCAAAGATCCAAAGAATAAACCGCGAATTCACCTGGAGTACCTTGAAACTGTTCCCTGTCTGCCCTGAAAATTTCATATCATATTAATTATCATATCTATTATATACGTACCAGGTGTTGCATCGACATGCAGGTATGACATCAGCATGATAAGTTGCCTATATAAGCAGGCATGAAAAATTGTTCACAACTGCATAGACTTCGGCGGCATAGTCAATGGAACATCTTTTTTCTATACAGTTCGTAACATATCAAATTATGATAGAATTATGACGGACTGTCGTAGCAATAGATTAAAACAGAAGCCATAGTGACAGGTTCATTTAGATAATATTAAAAATTTCATTTAGATAATATTAAATATAAAAAACAGTCGAAAAACTTTAAACAGACATGAAACGAAGATTGAACATAATTATAAAACCTATAATAAAAACTTTATCAATTTTAAATTTCAATAACTTTATACGATAGTTTAAACTGTATAACATTCTAAACACGAGTGAATTCGTCATAAGATTAATAATATTTGGACAACAGAAGATTAGCTAATAAGTCTCGCCAGTCAATAATGTATTAAATATTTTAAACGCGTTAACTTAAGAGTGATAAGAGATTTTGGCATAATTCAATTTAATTAAATCCTTTAATTGTTTGGTATAAATGATAGGTTTTCTTGATAGCTTTAACATACTTAGACAAACAAGATTACATCACATCCTATTAGATCTTATTTATATCGCTGTGTACAATGCTTTGCAAATTAATTATACCGGAAATTCTTGTTGAGGGAAAGTATAATTAAAAAGTTTTATGTCAAGTACCCGAGAATATTTTTTTCTTGAAAAAAAATGGCAATAATATGTTATTGCTAAATTGTATTTATAAAACATAAAAATTGTTAGACATTTGTCCGAAACTGCTTAGTTTCAAAGATTCAAGGTGTCAAAGTTGAAGGAAAAACTTTTTTCCAAAAATTTTTTAAATCGTTCGGACTATTTTGATGATAGGTATATCCTATGATCATATTCCGCTATTATAGCTGAAGAAGATTCCATACAGTCAAAACGTACTAGTCATTTTTTTTTCAATGATTTTTAGTAAAATCTGAATTTTACATCTATGTATTTGTTTTTTGTTGTTCGCTTTTTAGCCTCTTTTTTAATAAACACGTTATTTGCTTCACACACACACACACACACACACACATACACACACACAAACACAAACACACACACACACAAAAGCGATTCCTATTCAGTTTCAGTGTATACCTATATATAATAACTTTACTTACCTTGAGGGAGGATTTTTTTTTAAATCTTCAATTGCATCTCTTGCTCTTTGCAGATCTCGACAAGCCAAAATTACTCTTGCTCCTATATAAATATAAATATTTAATTCAAACATACGAATACTGTTTCTCATATCAAGTTGTGCTAGAACACCATCAATTAACTAGTACAATGTTTGTAAACTTCTTGAATGAATATTGACTTCAAGCAACAAAAAATTTAAACTCAATTATTATCAAACATTACACGTACACATATTAAACATGTGTAATTCTCTGGAGATAAAGTTAAATAAAATCAATAAACCTGATTTAATAAATCTTTAATTCAAGAAGCTACCAATTCCTGATAGAATTTTCCAAATTAATGGAAAGTTACCTCTTCTGTAAAGATCTCTTGCGGTCTCCTTGCCAATTCCAGTATTCGCTCCCGTTATAAGTACGGTCTTGCCAACAAGCCTTGCTTTGCTGTTACACTGACCGTGAAACGGCCACATTTTCACGACACAATTTTTTATATGGTTTCACAACGCGCTTTTAAGACGCAGTTGTCTACGGCAACTCGTGTTCGAATGCCAAGGTCGTCTGTAGTATACAGATTGTGTGTTGGCCGAAACCTTTCACGAATAAGATTCAAGGTTTACAATGAAATACAGAAGCGTCTGATGTGGTCTGTAGATAATTTTCGTGTTACGGTATTTATATAGTTACTGAGAGGCAAAGAGAAGGGAAAGAAAGAAAGAGGGGGAAAGAAGGGTAGAGATAGAGAGAGAGAAAAACATCCTTAATACGTAGTATTTTACTAAATATATGTATTAAACATTTTTTATTATTTATTTATCTAAAATTTAGAATTGTTTAAAAAAACAATATTAATGTGAAAAAGCAGGATTCTCGACTTAAAACGAGAGTTGACATATATTCTTGTAATGATGATATATTGATGTTACTGATCTCACGTACTTTTCTGTTCCTATTAATTTGTTAAACGATCATGCTGATTGATATCGCACTGTCTTTTTATTTTTCCAAAGCTTCGGTTTGCGATGGAAGAAATATTCCATAATGGTGTTGTTTGTTTCTCAAATGTCAAAGATTCCACTTCGGAACCGCAAGAGACTCAACCACAATTTTCAAAAATACAATTACCGCATTCAATTTCTATTAAATTTTATCGTACACTGAGAATGACTCCAAAGGGAGTTGAAACGTTCGTTTCGTAATGTATTTTATACTCATGTAATACGAATTTTCAATATTGTTAATATATTATACATATTTTGGGACATTAAAAACTACTCAGTACTTTCATTAGCTTTACTTTATTTTGTATTTTTAAATATAGAATCCTGCCTTTTTACATTAATACTGTTTAAAAAACATTAAAACTAAATAACTAACAATTGAGAACTTTAAAACGCCAACACAGTACAAAGCGAATCTTGGTGCTTTCGTATAATTTTTACGGTGAATCTTACAATTTAATTGTGATATTACATACTATACTCATTTCGAAGCGCTGGAGAAGCACGCGATTTGCGGCCACGTGGTGTTATATGAACCGAAAATTGTAAGATTCACACTAAAAATTATATGGAAGCACCAAGATCCGCTTTGTACCGTGTTGGCGTTTTAAAGTTCTCAAGTTGTTAGTTAAAGGTCTCTAGATACTTATTAAATAAATTAATGAGCCTTGATTTTAAATTTTATTTTAATTT